TCCACAGCTTTTGCAGTTCCAAATTAGCAATCAATCCTTAGTCAACCATAAATAGTGACATAAAGACTATTTACAATAGTAATAGTGCTATTCTTCAGTTCAAAGTACTCAAAAAGAGCATTAGACAAAGAACATGGAATAATAATCACTCAATTCAAGAAGAAAAACTTCAAGCAATATATACAGCATAATTTTTTGGTGATTTTGCACATCAATAATTTCTACATTAAAACAAAAAAGGTCCTATGGATGACAAACTGACTGGTGATTTAAGAAATCTTGTCACAATTTTCCTATAAAATTGATGATCATATTTCAGACAAACTACATCTACCTCCCTATCTTTCCAACTAATACCATAAGAGAAGAAACTTATATTTTTAACCTCAAATTTTGTATCGAGCTTAGACATACTGAGCTTCAAAGATGTTTTCTCTGTGCTATATACAATTTGTTCTAATTCCCTGGAAAAACCACACTTGCCCTATACAAATAAAATAGGTTAGCCTTAATGTGTTACCCAAACAACCATATGCATTCTTAATTTCATAAAATTGTCCATAGGCTTAATAAATTACATCCTCTGGGTAAATACACTAAGCAACTGCTATTATGGGCCTGCCACGTCCAAAGCCTGCATGGAAGCCTCTGGTACCATCAGGACCTTTAGGGAGTCTTTGAACTCCCTCCAACTGAATCATCCTGTGTCGTGGACTAGTAGAGTCAACTAGTGGGCTGGATTTTTGAGAATGGCTGCTGTTTGGTGATCCAAACTTGCGGCGCTGAGACCATGGGCTGTTAGGAGTGCTGTTAGGAGCACTGTTACTTCCTTCCTTGACAGAAATGTTGGCAAGCTTCCTGGGAAGTTCTGGACTACTCTGTGGTGATCGGCGGGCACCTATGCCCAGGGTTCGTGGGCTGGTAGTGGGTGATCCGGCCCTCTCTGGTGTTGGACTTCCACCACTGTTATACCTGCGTCGACAGGTACTAAATGATGAGTAGGAGTTATCTGTATCTGAAGAACAGGAACTTGACATGCTATCATCTGAGTTCTTGCCCATCAGCTCTTGCACACGTTTATCTTTCTTTCTGTTTCGGCGTTTCTTTTTAGAATCGTCGTGTTCCTCGTCTGAGTCTCGCCCGCCGTCGCTTCCCCTTTCTTTGGATTTCGTCTTGGACTTTGATTTCTCCTTCTTGGCGCCATGTTTGCCAAGTTCTACCACTTTCATGCCGCCTTCCTTCGACAATTCACTACACGCACGGGCAGCTGCGGCCATCGTTTCGAAGGCTACAACCGCAGTTGTTTCCTTCTCGAGTTCCGGATGTTTGGCAAAGTAAGACTTTAAATCAGCAGGGATTGGTTTTCCTGGCCGAATGATGCGGATTAATTCAATCTCCCCGCATTTAGAGAAGATCTCGCTTACACCTTCCATTGTCGCGTTCTCTAATCTAGTGACAACAACAGTTCTCCCTGGATTACGTTCGAGAAGTTCTGAAGGAAGGGGTACATTTCTTCTCACCTTTGTCTTCTCTGAATTCAGCGAAAGCTCCTTTGATTTTTCCAGGGCTTCGGCGACCACTCTATAATCTTTTGTCAGCGTTTTTACCTTCTTGAACGACGTTATAAGCTTCAAGTTGACGTAACCTTCTTTGTTACGACGGACATGCTTGAGCAAAAAGGCATCTTTAGCAAGATTATCGTCGCCTAAGTAAAACTCGACTTGGGACACAATTTTCTCCGCCAGTTCATCGCTAGGAGGTTGGAAAGGTTCAGTTCCATCTTTACCATCGTTGTCGGAGTGGGAATCGACGGGAGAGCGCCGATATTTACGATCGACTTCATCTTCTGAATGCGACGAACCCGCTACGTCATGATCAGAACAAGCGGTGGAACTGACTTCTTGTCCGTTCAACAACAACTTTGGCGAAGCTTCAACTTTCTCTGCGTTTTTCCCTTGTAAACTTTCTTCCCTCTGATCGTCAGCCATCTTTAATAAAATGCAAAGAGGCAGATGGCCCGTCAGCTAAATCTCGCAACCCACTCACTACTTCGTGAAAATACAACTGATCGGAAACCGTTCCGCCGCCGTATTTATAATCCTCACGTGGCCCAAGTACGGATGACGTAAGAACGAACTATTCTTTCAGTTCCGGTTGTTACATGAAATGTTTCACATTTCAGACAAAATCTATCATACGGCTATTTTTACTTCTTCATCCAAAAATAAATCGTTTCGATTTGCTCGTAAATAATTCAAACGTGTCGTTTATTCCAAACTGTTGGCTAATTACGGGGAAGAACAGCCATATTCAAAATATTTCGTACGTGTAAGTACTCACGGAACTCTCGAGATATTTTAGACGTGCACGTTGCATTGGACACGTTTCAATAAAGATGTCAGCCGGTGTCATGTTATGTACTTCGAGTCACGACTACGTTTGCTGATAAAAACTGAAAAGAAGTATTCCAAAATTATCACATATTCCTGCTTTCGTCACTAAAATACATTTGAAGAAAAATCCGTCAGAAAACACGTCATTACGATGTCATTTTACTGAAAGACTCCTAAACAAATCGTAAGATGCTATAGCAATTCTGAAAGAGGATTACACCATAAAATACTTTGATCAACATGATACAAAGTTCGTCAAATAATACACTTTGCAGCGTGACATCACGTCGATATCACAAAAACCCACAATATTATTAATAAATCGTAGTATTGAGCTTTGTGCCCTTGGCTTCGCGGCTTTTTAAAACGTATTTTGAAAGTTTTTGATAGATATTATTTTTTGTTTTGCTTTCCCCCGCGCGGTTGAGTGCATATTGCCCCCCGAGTGACTCTCATGTATGAACCGCTAAAATTCCTTTTATTTGTTTGCAATATCTATGAATAACAACTTAGAAGAAACTATATTTCCGTTCGTTAAACAAAATTTTCACTGTGTATTTGTTATCATATTTTTAAGAGAGACCAGCCAAAAACTCTCATGATTGATAATGATTTGAAACGGCTAAGAACTTCCCGAAGCGGAAATAGGAATCGAGTGGATCTATTTGGAGTTGAAGAAAAGGAAAGCTCCCGATTTATTAGTGGGGAGTCGAACTGTTTCTATTACTTCATCCTCTCTTTCAGTCACTGATTGGTTTTCACGTTATGTTTCACACTATGCTTTATTTATAAATGTTTTTATCTTTATCAAATATTAGACAGTTGATTGTCATCTACAAAGTAGATTGACCAACTCATCAGAAATAATCAAGCCTCAAAGAAAAATGATCGTGATATTTTCAGCATTCCGCTTTTACTCGAAAAAAAAAGAGTCCTTAAATCAGATTTTTACGTCCGTAGCTTATGTATTATTTTAGCTTCTATTTGTACGCTTGGTGTAAATCTATTACAGGAGTGTCTCATTTTAAATCATAACATATCTATCCTTCTTTATCTACATTTTTTGGAGTTGTATACAAACGTGCGCAATTTTTAGTTGTTTCTGTTCCCGTACTTAGGGGAAATGTTTCTAAAACGGATTTTCCCCTCTTATCCGTTACCCAAAAGAAAATTTCAGTTTCTGTTTCACGGGAAGGAAGATTTTTATTATTCGAGAATATTATCCGAGTTCTGAAACAGAACTGGCAGATTTTTTATTAGATATTATTCTTTAATATTCCAAGTGGAAAGAAACTAATAATATCAAAATGTTTGATTTGTTGATGGAAAACGACCTTTAAGGGTAGTTTCAGCAAGTCAGGATCATCCCGATTAGTGTTACTAAAGTATAACCGGTGTCTGCTTCCTTAAGTGAGAAAGGAAGGACATTTGAGTGTGCGTTTGCCCTTCCTTATAGCAATGTGGAAACAGTTACAGTGGGCAATTAACGGGAAACGTGACCTTATCACAAAAATACGCAGGGCAGGTATGCTTAAAACAAAAACTTCCGTGAATATTTACGAGTTATACGTGTCTGTTCGGCTTCGCTGAAGCGAAACGTGTACTCATTCCTCTTCCATCGTTACTGAAACAAACAGATGGACGTGAAACTTCCTTAATACCAGCAATAGACTTGAACTATTGGAATCTTGCAGGACATTGTAGAAAAACGGTTAGGTGCTCATGTGGAAGTTTTAATCAGCTTCACCAAAACATAACCGGTATAGTTTATTCAAAAGCTACCGGTGTTCCTTAGAAAAAAAAAACTTCTCAATTGATATTTTTGTTCAAGTCCGACAAATTTCACACGAACAAAGAAACTTCCTCGCACATGCATGTTGCGTGGAGGGAGGTGGGTATTTCATTGGGTTATTTTCCTTAAACTTAATTGTAGAGTTCCGTTTGTTATGGCGAGGTTTTCTTTAATTTTACACGTCGCGATTCCACGTGAATAAAAAAAATTTTAACAAAAAGTTGGTTTCATTGATCAAATTTTAATCAAAATTCGGTTATTTTGGGACGATAAGCACTAGGTTTTGTCCTTTCCAAAGCTTTTACAATGTAGATTACGGAAGTTGTTTAAGTAATTACATTCCTGTTGTCATAACTTATGAGATAAAGCGTATTGTGTTCTGAATGCGTGTCCTGCCTTTAATTGGAAGTTGTTGTGTGTTGCCAAAAATGTGTTTATTTGATATGGCTCACTGAGTTTACGGACAGGAATGAAATATTCCAGTCGAGAAATAAAGCTCAAAGTTACAAAATTTCATATCATCCTTAAATCTTGCAGTTTATTGTTCTGAACCAGTTTCTCTCTCGATCAAAACAAATAAAGGTTTTCGTGCATGATAAGCAACGTTTTACATTCAGATTCTCGCTTGATCTTTCTTATTCGTTGTGAAGAAACAATCAAGAAGGTAATGTAGCGTATATTAAACACGCACAGAATGAAAAGTGAAGGTCGCATCTAGCAAAGCCATTAAATATAGTAGGTTGAGAACCACACCGCTGCTGAAATAACTTTAATAACAGTAGTTAGCACAGAGACACGCTCAAAATTGTGATCTGATTAAGATACCCGTAATATTTTGTTTGCTTGACAGTAGTGTTTTATTTTTAGCAATAAAGGAAAAGTAGATAGAGGTATCGTATCCTGTTTTGATGTCCTCGTTTTTGTGGGCAGTTAAATTATAACGAGGGAATGCTTGGCTAGCGATTTGACCTTGGCCGTAAAGGAATGGGTAACAGACTAAAATAAATGTAGAGTAACTATGTAACTATGAACATCGCATAATTTTAGCTGACACAGGAAGTTTTGTAAGCAACGAGCAACGAAGTACAGTGAGCTTTGAGAACAACCCGAATATAATTACTTCCTCTCAAGGCATAACAAACTCTGTAATACGTTTTCTGTTTCGATTGCTCCAAGACTTGTTCGAAATCTGTCGGTTTGAAAGATAGGCTGAAGAGTTCCTGGTAGCCCTAGGGATATTTACTTCAACCTCTGAAAAGAAACGAAACAGCTTCATTCAGATGTTGAAGACCATAGTTCTGTATTCCTAATTACGATAAATTTTAAGAAAAGGCCGAAAACAGAGAGTAAATCAAGAGACTATAAATAATCCAGTGAACACTGTCGATGCCAATCAAAACACTAATTTTTGTCTTGCTTTTTTCATCATTTTCTCAATATATAGATGCATCTTTTATGTATATTTTGTTTGCCGCGCGCTTTTAACGGGAGGCTCTTGCGCGGGAGTCTAGGTGACCAAACCCTACGTTTCAACACTACATTTAATTGATCAGTTTTAAGTTAGCAATCCTGTTAGCAATCAGTTAGTAATTACATCTTTGGTAAATGTAAGGCATCTTTCAGTGATACTTTGGTAGCGCCCGTCGTTCTAATAAATATTGTTTTGAATCAATTATTTGAACTTTTCGATTTCACCATTCAATATATATTTATACTAATTTTTTTTAGTATATTTTTGATTTCTGACTTCATATTTTACCATCTGGATATTTTGTCCATAGTTATGTCTTGAACAGTAATATGGGACAATTTCATAAAAGATAATTTTCTCCAACCCAACCCTTCATAAAATGCAGTCTCACTCTCAGAGTCCCTGTTACCCTTATTTAGTGCAACAGGTGCTAGTTGAGGTAATGAAAGGGAACAAAGACTCAGGAAACAAGAGTGTCCCTCAGGGCTCCACGCAAACTCTGTTGAACACTTGCTGTTTGGAGAGCAGCAAGGCTTGTTCAAAATCTGTGAGTTTGAAAGATGGGCTGAAGAGTTCTTCAAATGGATATTTATTACATGTTCTGGACAGAAACGAAATAGCTTCATCCAGATGTTGTGGACCATAGTTGTGAATTCCTGATGATGATCAATGAAAAGAAAAAGGAAAATAGAGAGTGAGTCAAAAGGCCATTGATAAACAAGTAGACATCTCACTGTAAGTTCAGGCATCCTTTGATACTTACCTTTAATAGTGACACACTTTCTTATGATCTGTTCACCAGTGATATCTAAATTGGAATTTGGATGTACCATACCAGCAAGCACATATAAACCCCCAGTACGAAGGAGTCTTATTCCATCAGGTATCACTCCTGGGAATCCACAAACCTGTAAATAAATACACAACATCTCAGACTGCAATTTGATGAATTCTGAAAAACAATGCCTGGAATAATCCTCTATTATTTAAGACAACTAACTACAGTCAATAAGTTACCAAATGGATAAAACCTCTACACCCTAACATCGGTATGCAAATTCTCCATACTAATCTTTAAACAATTCCTAAATAGGAGAACTTGTCAAACAATCAAGAGCTTCTTGAGTTTCTGATCATTTCCCTTATTCTCATGAACTTAATGTTTGATTTAGGGGTGAAAATGTTGGGAGAAATTAGATACTTATCACTCTTAGGGGTTGGAGGGTTAGATTCCAAAAAGTGTAAACTGATATAAAATGCATAACTTTCAGTATGAAGTAATAAAAGTTCCTCACCTCTATAACCACATCAACAGAGTTGTCACCAGGATCACTTGGAGGGCTCCCATCTATAAATTTGGAAATTATGTGGACTAGTAAGTCTCTCCTTATGTGAGTTTGTTGTTAACACTATGGAAGGTAAAATTTTAAATAAATGTAAATGTCAAGAATAAATCCAAAAAGGGATTGATATGATGAGAAATATCATGCTATAACTGATTTATAATATACCTTTTGTTAATTAAATGGACTGCCCTTGGAAGGAGCTTAATCATCACAAAGCAACCAAATTATATCACATCACTTCATATACACCTTTAACTTTGATCTAATGATTTTATCACACTTACATTGGATTTCCACAAGGAGAAATGTAAAAAAGCCTATCTTACCTGTTATGACAGGAATTCCACCAAACCTTTGAACTATTTCCAGTCTCTTGGGTTCAATATCAGAGCAGTAAACTTTCCTGAAGCCAGCTTCTTGAAGAAGCACACAGCCATAAATTCCTAAAAGGCCACACCCCTATAAAGTTAAAATTGAGCTGTACAGTCATCAAGTTGACACATTTTGAGGTTTAAAAGAAATTTTGAAATTTTTTTGAGAGTTTCAGAGCTGACGTTTCGAGTGTCAGCCCCTCCCTTGGAGCAAATGATGAAGGACTAACACTAAAAACATCTGCTTTTAAACTCTTAACAGTGGTCAATTTTGCATTGCATGCCTGTCAAATTTCATAATTGCTTACCTGAATTAAGGCAACTGTATCACGATGAAGATTTTCTCCTGTAAGTCCAGACACAACATTAACCATTGTTGCTAATGCACAATTAATGGTAGCAGCCATATTATCTCTGACATGACCAGGAATTTTTGCAACATGTGTTCCACTGTGTATGATAATATGGGATGCATAACAGCCATTAAGTTGTGATTCTTCTGTCATAATAGAGTGACCATACTATAAAAACAAATGAGAGCCCAGAGTGAATCTAATGCTTTACACCCTAACATCAATATGCATTAATTCTCTATACTGTTCTTGATACAACTCCTAAGGTACTGACAGAGAGAATTTGTGTAACAATCAAGAGCTTCATTATTTGGTGATCATTTCCTTTATTCTTGTAACCTTAATGTTTGATTGTAAGGAGAAATTAGATGCTAGTCACCCTTTAACTCCCATGAGTGACCAAGACAGAATTTCTCCTTATAATATTAATACAATATCAAGCAGACAAGTGATGAGAATAAAGAAAAATATCCAAGAAGATCCAAGACCAAATTCTCCAAACTAACATCACAAGAACTGTAAGGGAGACTGTAAGGGAGACAGTAAGGAGAATTATCAATGAGATCTTGGGAGTTAAAGGATTAAGAGAAGAAAGAGCAAGATTTGTATTCTTTGGGGAATACTACAATTGACTGAAAGCTGCTTTTTAAAAGACTCTATGGCCTCAAGTATTTAGTAGGCGTAGAATATAGTCCCTCACTGATTGCGTTTAATGGTCAGTGACGTCAGGCTTCAGAGGAAAGGTTGGCATGTCTAGGAGGAAGAGAGGCTGAGAGAAAGAAACCAACAAATAAAAATTATTTAATAAATAACCTTTCACTGTTAGAAGCATCCAACATACAATTTCTCCTTTCAATATTTATACCTTGTTCAGTAAACAGTCGAATGTCAGATGTTGTCTTGATGTAGCATCAAATTCTCTCAAATCATTTGCAAGAAAATGATTGGCAGATGAATGGTAGAATTAACCCTTTAACTCCCTTATGTGACCAAGTCAGAATTTCTCCTTACAATATCAATACAATATCAAGTGGACAAGCGGTGAAAATATAGAAAAATGTCAGTTTGGGAATTATGAGTTGATCCAATACCAAATTCTCCAAACTGACATCAAAAGAACTGTATGGGAGAAGTAAAGAGAATTATTTATAAGATCTTGGGAGTTAAAGGGTTAATGATCACAACTGTCAAGTGTCTTTCTCAAGTGTGCCATGTAATGTCTCTAAACAAGAAATAACCTGAACCCTTTAACTCTCAAGAGTGATTGAAATGTAACTTCTCCCTATAATATCCATACATTATCCAGCAAAAGATAAAGAGAATTCTCAAACTTCTCAGGTACAGGTTGTTGTCTTCATCTAACACCAAATTCTCATAACTAAGTTACAGGTAAATGTGTAGCAGCCAGAGGGGAGAATTAACAATCAGATCTTGGGAGTTAAAGGGTTAATTGTTTTATCCGAATTCCAGTTTGACATCCATTAGGTTCTGACATACTCACCAGGACCTAGCCCTCCTTCGGATCCCAAATGCCCCCTTCCCACACTTTTCTTAAAAAAAAAAATTATCCCATTGTTACCTTGAACAAAGAAGTGCATTTCTGCTGAAGTCCTTCCCTGCAGTTTTCACATTTGTTGCAACAGTTGATGACATGAAATGTTATTCTGTCTCCTTTTTCAATGTCAGTATCTGGACGCAGATGATTGATTACTTCTACAACACCTTCATGTCCAAGAATGCTAAAATTTAATGACATCCCATGAGTAAATCTTCATCTTTAAAAAATAAATATATCTGGGAATTAAAATAGCATGGACTGACTTGAGGTGCTTGTTATGAGAGGAGTTCACCTGTATAGGTTTATATAATCTTAAAAGTATGATCTCATTGGGCTGGTTATTCAAACTAAATTTAGCTGTTGTCTAACAATGTCAGGGCCTAAACAATCCTCAATTTAGCAATTTTCTCCATAGACCAATTTGTTTCCCTTTCACTAGACCTTTTGTTAAAGAGAGTTGGTCAATAGGACAGAAAAAAGAGAATAGAAAAACTGAGTGAGAGAGCCTGAGTGCAGAGGAAACCCAGATGAGTACATTTGCTTATTGATTGTTTTCCTGATCCAAACACACAATAAAAATATAGGTCTGAAAATTAGGTGTAAATAATTCCTACACAAACATGTATGTTGACAGTCCTGCCTTTAATGAAAATCGAGACAGTGAATTTGAGTTTTACTATTTTTCCTGCCTAGAAGTATGAAAAGAAATTTTCCTTTTTACCCTCTAAAATTGGATCTGTTAGGTGATGGGAAATGAAACATGCTCTGGTTTTTGTCCTCACAATGATTTGATCTTTGCTGAGGACCAGTCATTTGTAATGTAATGTATACCTAATTGACCACTCCCAAATGGGGCTTTTCAGGGCCAAAAAACATCCACAGAACCCTCCCTTTGAAAATTTGAATTTGAAGGCAATTTACAATAATTTGCACAGTTGCCCAATACTTGTGCTGGGTGTGCATGTTGGAATCTTAAGAGGTAAGATACCTAGGAGCCATTTTCTTTATAACTTCAATAGACATACGGAAAGAAAAAGCGCCTCTAAAGCCTTCACCCCTTCCCCTTCCCCTCCCCCCACAAAAAAATGCTCTTAAGGAATGTGGGGGTGGACAAACCCAAAGATCCATTTGTTCAATCAACAGTAACGTGCAATAAAATAGCATTTCAGGTTATACCTCGGCGTCTGCTCTTTTCTCTTTCCGCTAATTGTATGTAAATCCGATCCACATATTGTTGCCATTCGGAGCTTTCCTAGGATTTCACCAGGTTTCAGCTTTGGAATAGGAACTTCTTCATGAATCAAACATGGTTCAGCTTGGGTGCCTAGAAAAACAAGCCGGCGAGCTGTTTCGCTCATGTGTGACATGACCGAAATTTCAAAGATCAATTAACACCAGGAAGAATGCAAAACGAGTGGTCTGATGATTAAACGAAATCAACTGGGCAGACGCTTTCTGCATGAATTTTGGGGACTTGCAATACGAGGTCGAGGAGATCTGGTAACAAAATAGACGAATTTGGAGGTAGCCTGGGAACTAAGCAAGAACAAGATGGCTGATGCGTTAGCGCGACTTCTCTATCTTGCCAAAGATTTTGCCGTCGCAAATCTTTTTTAACGTGACTGTGGGTCATGAACAGCCATGGTAAGGCAAATAAGAAGAATTTTTCAGAATACCAAGCTGAAACCTAAAGCATCAGAGGTATTAACACAACATTTACGTCAAAGAGGACTGCCGAATTGGACTTCATATTTCGTCCGCTACAAGTCGGTGATGAATGACAACTTCGCAATGTCCCATTTTAACTGGCTCGTTGATGGACAAAACTACCATATTCTAAGAACAGGCTGTTTTCCTTTCATCAAATACCACTGCTCAAAAAGACCTTGGCAGGATCTGAAGCTCGAGAACAATATCCTCACGTTATTGAAAATTTTGAATTTAGGAATTCCTACTTTGGCTTATGGAATAGTGGCTTTCTTTCTAATAAAACATGAGGAGACAGTGAAAACTGTCAATGGGGACGTTGAGATTTACTTTTTAATGGAAGAGGAAAAAGATGCCATGTTTTGAGTAGAACTTGCTCAACAATAAACTTTTAACCGACATCCTGCAATGCAGAGCTTTATTTTTAGAAGTAATAGGCATAGTGGCATTACAATCGATGCAGAATGCTGGGGTAGAACACAAGTTAACGTTTTTACCGTAAATCACCTACCAAACGTGAGTGATTTTCAAGCTTTTTTATTTTCCACCAAATTCTTTAGTGTCAAGGGAGGAAGCTAAATAATGAATGATGAATAGAAGTATTAAACCTTTTATACCCTAATAAATATTAATATTCTATTCGGCCATTCTTAGACGGTTGTTGTGTTTGAATATCCTGTCGGGTTGAGTTCGGGTCAATGTCGGATTATTTTCAACACTTTTTGGCTGTTTTCATCACTGTGAGGGCAAGTTGTCTGAGTCGAGTTTTAGAAATGCCCACCCCCTCGAATAGAGTTCATGAAACTGGACTTTCCAGCTATTGAACCGCGGGTAAAAGCATATATTCACCATGAATTCTTCCCATCCCCTCGGTAGATTTGCCAAGAAATCTTCCACACCCTTACCTCCACGTTGAGAGATGAAAAAAATTATCTTTGCATCTCTCTAAGGAGGCCATGTCGATGAGAGCGGTAAATCGGCACAGATCCGGATACCATACACTCTATCAAGGACATTAGTCAAAGCCCTATTTTGATCAGTTAATAAGTGTCTCTTTCTTCGTTGTGAACTTAGATGTGAAGTTTAGTTCTTTTAATTCGACCTTTCAGCGTCACCACGCTGATGTAGAAGCTAAGTTAGCGTCCTTCTAAAGTAGTTTTCCCTTCGATATCTTGTGTTCTTGTCAACTTTGTACCCAGCTCGGTCGTTTCTTACCCAGACTGATAAAGTATGTTTTCCACGTTAAGCTTTAACTTGTGAACGAGGTGTCTATTTTTAAAGCGCGACCACCGAGTGTGGGGCCTGGAACGTTCATAAGAATGGGAGAAAAATATCACACATTGCGTTAGGCAATAATAATTTTTTTCGCTAGTTTTCACAACATTTGATATGATACCAGTGCTTATTACGCTGACGGGGTTATCCTCAATAAATATTATTATTATTGATCATATAATTTTGTCTGTATTTTTCTAGCAATACTCTACTTACTCATGAGTCGTACGCAACAATCGACATCTGTTCACACACTCGAGCGTGAGGTATTTCGAATATATGTATATTAGGACGAGTAAGAATCGATCAGCGATTTGGGTACGAACCGACTGGGTATGAAGCGACCATGTGTACGAAACGAGCCGGAATACCCTCCAAAAGTTACCAAAGGCTTACGTTCAATTCTCAGCTACTTGTGAATATTACTCTGCCTCAGTTTTACTCGCTCGGAGATTTAGCCGTTCTTTTAACCGTCCCAAGAGTTATTTGTAGTCAGGTCTGCCCCTAATCTCGAAATATTCGAATACATTACATACTTTTTACACGCTACCTCTCGTAAGGCGCGCGTGATAACGAATAGCAGGGTTACAAAGCTGATTATGACGTAACGTTTACCTTCCCGCGAAATTGGAAAGTAGTGTAAAACCCTAACAGTTACAACGGAGTGACAGATTTTATCATGGATCCTGAGGAAGTGAAAGTTGTTGGTAAGACATGGTTTCGCTGTTAAAACGTATCTCCAGTCATGGGCAATGTAAAAGATACTCACTTTTCTTTCGCAGTTTACGCAGCTCGAAATTTACAGCCAAGGAAAGGAGCAGGTACGTCGATGTGTCTTCCGTAATCAATGCGAGCCCTTTTCGCGAAGGTTTCCATGTTGTTAATTTAATATCGTGCTGTAATCTTTCAGGTGTATGTAATGCATCGGTTATTTTTGGCATTGGCAAGCAAAAATATCGCACAGAGGCAGTGCGAGATAACGATCCCACTTGGAATGAGGAAACTACAATGTGAGTGTAATGTTTCTTGTTTTTTTTCTTTAAAAATACGAATGTCGGGGGATTCATATCATCAACTTTGTGTTCATTTCTATTAAGGAGAAAATTATGATGGAATATTCGAAAAGTGGTCCTACAAATCAATAAAAACAGGAGCCATTAAGGTTATGGGCTCCTGATAAAAAGCAATACTTCTGTCTGAAATATAAGAACCGTCGTTTTTAATCGCGATTGAGTAGTCAAAATAAATAGTGCTAAAATAAATCGTGCTTTTCTTATGTAAATCAATAATGGAAGGTTTATGCTAGGCAAACAGTGCATTTTCACACCTTAACCAGTTTTGATCAAAGGGAAAGGAGTTACAAATTATAAATTTTTTTTGTAAATGTAAGCTCTGCATTTCTAAGTAACTGGCTTATTTTCAGTTTAGTGATTTATCCTTGCTGCAGTGCTAAGCGAGAACTTCGTATTCATCAGGAACTAGAATGGAGATTTATGGGACTGTATCTGCTTCTATTATCTATTCCTGTACTATTTGCGTTAATAAGAAACATCTGCCTTCAAATTTTGGTCTTTTAAGATTAGCGGACAGTGATTACGGATTTTTGTGATCCTTTGGAATTAATTATGGAGAGGATCGAGGATTCATTAGTAAAGCTGGATAGTAACATTCTCCAATTACTCCTAAGTTGAACTGGAGACGATTTTATTTCCAAATTTCCTCATAACAACTTGTGCTTGGGAAGATTCAATGACGTTCACCCCCCCCCCCCCCCCCCAAAAAAAATACAAAAACAAAAACCAAAAAACAGTGGAAACCAAATTATTGACGCAACATATTTAAAATTTTGCAAGCAAGAAGGATACAAGAGCCACGAAACAATTAAAGCTAAAGAACACGTTGATCGCCATTGGGTGACGTTACTTTATGCAAAATAGTTTTAGTGTTGATTTGTTGGAAAGGAGCGAGAGCGGGGGAGAGGGAGGGGGGAGATCGGCAAAGTTAGCTCTTTGGTTTAGCTGTCGCTCCTAAAACATATCCAAAGAAACGCGCCTCAATTTAATCAAGCGTTAAAGATAAGCACATCTTAGTTCTCCTCAGTTAGTTTATTTGCCAAATTAAATACAGTTTCTTTAAGTATATCCATATTTACTGACATCTAAGGTAAAAAAAAAAAACAGGAAAAAATTATCGAAGACAACACCATCTTTTCTGAAAACACGAATTGTATGTATATCTAGGAGATCATCTTTTTATTTTGTCTCTTCTCTCAGAAAAGTTTCCAAACCAGCTGCATTGATATTCACAGTGATGGATCGAGAAGACTCCCTTGGCACAGTCAGTTTGCCGCTTGCACAAATCCCCTCCGTGGCTCATCGTCGCCGATGGATTCCGTTGACGAGAAAAAATTCCCAAGCTATGGGCGACTTGTGCATCGATTGTTGGGTTCTTTCCTTCAAGAAGGCAGGGGAGGGAAGTAAATGGAATTCCATAATACCTTTAAAGGGTCGCAAAGGAGGAGGCGGGCGAGATCGCTCCAAACGAAGAGCCTCGATTGAAGCTGCTTCTATTTCTAAGAATGGATCAAGGTCGATCGAAAATTTATACTCCAAGCCTGAGCTTACAGTTGACCGTAATTTGGACGATACAAACCCCTTTAAGGCTACTGACTCTGGATTGTCAAGTCCCAGTCTGTCTCGTAATTCATCGTCCAGTGCCACAAATTTAGCGTCCCTTTCTTTGTTCAAACCGCGTCTCGCCCCCACCTTAGGTCAGGTGCTGTCCGCCAGTCGTGCTCCGGAGATTACAGGACTCTCTCCAAAATCTGGTCCTTCGTCTGGAGGCACACGGATCACAGTGCGCGGTTGCAACCTGGGCACCTCAAAAGAAGATATAGCATATATAACTGTCTGTGGTTGTGATCTGTATTCCACACTTGAATACCACAGTCCAGCCAAGCTTGTGGTTGTAACGAAAGCTTGGAATGGCTCCGGACCTGTTGTGTTGCAGACTAAGTCTGGTGGACGTGGTACATCGACTCTCGATTTTAAATTTCAGGATAAAGCTTCAGGTGAATAGCTACATAGGTAGCCATTGATTTGGCTTATAATTGTTATTGTTGTTGTTTTTGAAAACTTAAATATGGCAAGGGATCGGCACACGATACCATGAAACACGTTTTGTACGAATGTACTGAAAATTCTTAAAATCCCTTTTACCAGGATACGCGCGCATAATAGGTGCCAGATGAAATCAGAAATTAAAACTTATTTTACTTCTCATGACACCAATGCTAATGACAAAGACCTTAACTAGGACAGAGAAGTTAATTTCGCAGAAGTCACAACTTTGGCTTGTTCGTGGAAAACTCTCCAGGAGCTTATCAATATCAAAAGGAAACGTTTTCTTCTTTATTGCATTCTACGATCTCTTTAGTTACTTCGTTGGTTAGAGGAAGCTCTCTAAATTTCTTAGATTTTGCTGAATCAGCGACTTTCTCCTTCGTGTGAATTGATATTTTTGACACCACAAAATGAGTTAAATTTAGTTTTACTTCTTTCGCATTGTGTGGACAAATCGTGCGATGCGAAAAATTAGCAACATTATCAAAAAAATTTGCGCAACTGCGCTCAATCGTTTACATTTCTGGGGTGAAATATATATTATCATAACCTCGAAATGGAATTTATGACGAATCCTCTTCCTAAGTGCTGAGCTTCAAAGTAGCTGTATAATATTCGAAATGTATATTGTGCGGTTAAATCACACATTGTTATGGCAACCAACTATGACATCACACCAGAAAACATCTTCAAGTTCACTGAAATAATTTCGTCCAAACTTCTTAAGAATCAGTAGTATACCTACTCAAAGAAATTTAAGTTCCGAAACAGGTCAGACATAAATCAAATTGTAAATTGTCGATTTTCACTTTTGAACGAAGAAAATAATTTAAAATGTGTTCAGTGTTGGACAAACTGATTCATTTTCTCGGCTTTTATACCTTGATCGATAGCGTCAAGCAAAGATTCAAGCAAGAAAGACAAAGCCTCAAGAGCTGACCTTTTAACAGAAATAACACACCTCAGAGAGGAAATTAATGGTAAGGTTATTCTCTACAATTGATACAGTAACCAATGGTCCTTGCATTGGACTTAAAGGAATTTCATTTATTAAACTATTTCAAAAGTCTCAATTGACAGATGTTAATTAAGTTTGGGTTAAAACATAAATTGCTCGAGTTTTCTATTTTTTTTTTCAGATTTGGCTGACGAGAATCGTTCAATGAAGAACTACATAGATAGACTAATGACGATTCTCATGGAAAAGTTTCCAGAAGTACTAGAAAATTTAGGTTCTTCTGTCCACTGAGTGTGTACAAGCCAGGAGAAAATAAAATATTTTTTCACTAAGAATATTTAAGCCTAGCCAAAATTATTTGTTAGCTGATCAGTGTTTTACTGATCGAACACACGATGCAGTTCATTTCCCGTTCTCGCAAAGTGAATAAAATCCCTTCTGCACTCCTAAGTTTAAATTAGATATCACGCTAATTTTTGAAAGGGAAATTGGTCTTCTTCATTTTCTTGCTCCAGCCATACTAATCAGTTGAAATTGATTAATAAATTTCAAAACATAATTTTCAATTGTTTCTTTCATTATCAAAAAGCTCATAGTATTGGCAGTCAGTAAACGTAACACTTCCAAAATATACTTGCGTAATTCTTCACCGATTCTGAAACGTTCGGTCTGTTACGAAAGATTATAATTAAACAGTTATCTATTTTTTTAAGACTAGCCACAAAAGCAAACTTTCTAAGTGTTTCTTCAGTACAGCGTCTTCCCTATTTGAAACATTCAACCAACTGTAGCTCAAAATTGCGTTATTGAACTTCTACTAAAAATTGGAGCCGGATATAATTAAATAAAATCAATTGATAATTTCCAATCCCTATGTGTAAAAAACCATTTGACAGGAGCACATCACTTCAGATTCTGCTGCTGATAGTTAAAAGAAGGCGTCTTTAACCGGTGACAACTTCACCATGACCACCCCTGAGGGATTTACTTTGGCACTAAAGAAATTGGTAAACTGACCCAAGTCTTCACGAGCAAACAAGTCTCTGACAGAGGCCGTCTTCGATGTCAATCCAATCTGTAGCACAAAAAAAAAAAAGAAAGGTGTAGTAATTTTTGACACTGATATGTTACTGGCGACACTTTAATTTTAAACGATAGTGCTAAAACGATGCAATTGTTTCCTATTCTATGAGCAATCAACTCTTAAACAGCTCTTTCCCTTCCTCCTTAAATTCTGCCCGTTACGCAAGTTACTTGGGCAGTAAGCCATCCAAGCGAACATCTTAAAGGGTTTCAGTGGAACAGCAAATATTTCAAAGCATGGTTGGCCTTTAGACGTACATGACTCAGAAAAAGAACTTCACAGTTAGATAATAAAATCCCATTATAAAATAGTAATGTCAATTCACACAAACCAGTTCAAAATCAGCTTTGATTTCCTGAGCTGAGCCTGCGTTGCGATTAAACAGCACAGCAGCCACACTGCCATCAGACAAGGCACGTGACCACACTTCTAGATCTTTTTCAGCGAACTGTTGAGAAAAGCACAACAAAATAACTTAAGAGCAGAATACACGGTTAATTATTAGAAGAGTTGGGGTGCAGGTCAGTTAGCACAGAGATAAACCAATGACTTGAAGTCTTATTAACTCATGGCATCAAATCTAAGCAAAGCTGTTTTGAGAAGATTTTGGCAATTTCGAAAGTTTGGCCATTGATGTGGAAAGTGTTTTGTGTTATGATGGAATTAATGAAATAACTTTAGTCAGCGTATGCATTTCCACGTTCCCAAATTAATAGATTCCATGCGTTTATTCCGCAGTAGATCACGTAAAATAGTAAAAACGTGGCAAGAACAAAAAAGAGGCATACGAAGCGCTGTTGTGTGTGTCACTGATGTCATTACCGTATTTTGACGCTATCTATGATCTATTGCTGTAAAGACCCACAGTAACATGAAATCTTTTCGTTTAATAATAAAAACAAAACATTGTCAACGGTGACGTCATCAATACGTCTGTCCTCAAAATGCGAGTATAACTCAGCTTATCAAATAACATAAAAAAGTATACCTACCACTCTTCTGCCCATTTTTCCCAGCTTGTCTTGATCAACAGCAATTACTTCTCTGATGGGTGTACATACAAGAGTAAAATAGAAATATTTACGACCTTTAAGCCAACAAGGAACTTAAACAGCTGTGCAGCTTGGCCAAAACGACTTTGATTTTTCAGGATTTTCCAAACTCGGACGATCTCACTACGCGATAGGCTAAAACTCTCCTATTGAACCTTGCACGTTAAGCGATGTAATGAATATACCTGTTTAGAAGAATGTCTGTGGCTTCCTTTGAGATATTCCTCAAATCATTGGACATGATAAGTGGCTGTACATCAGAATAAAGACACGTGATCAGTAAATTTGCATATTCAGGAAAAGAATAAAACCACCAAGAAATACGAGGGCGTGATGCAATATGAGGTTGTCTTTCATGGTTTTGTGACATCTGAGATAAATAATCACTTCATTCTGTGGCGCACAAATACAATCTAAGACTGCATTCTCCTATATGTTCCAGAACATGGCACTTGCAGAGCGACATTCCTTTCGAAAAGATTGATTATTACGAACTTTCCTTTTTTCTTCAGAAGTCTTCGATGGTCTACAGAAAAAATATGGAAGTTACCAGAAAATCCTCACGATCAGAACACTCTCTGGTTAGCAATCATACCCTTTTAACATGGAAATATTCGGAGCACATTGCTTCTCCACGGCCTAAAAATGCTTGACCAGCACACGGAAAAAAGGACTCAATCCTGGCTTTATCTGCTTCAACATATCTAATCATACGCACCATACACATCATGACAGTGAAAGAGGCTTAACTTACTGCGGCTAGGATTGACCAAAGTGCAAACTGTGCTTTAGATTGTTCGTAGTTTAGCCCAAAATCACCGATGACAAGCTGTAAAGGGAAATTAAAACAAAACTATTAAAAATGTATCAAGAGTGATTACCCGAATATCATTGATTTAGTTCTTAATCAAAGAAACTAAAGTTATCACAGTGGCAAATCAGGACGAAGAGCAATATTTCGATAGACAACCAGTGGGAGCAGAAACATCCAACCTATTACATGCTTCTGGAGAGAGCTGATACTAAGGGCATCAAGTTCGCTTAATAGCGCGGGAAAACGCGTGTGATCAAGGCGCGATTGGATTTAGTTTTGTCTCTGATTGGTTGAGGATGTAACGCGACTTTTTTAGACCAATCACAAAGCAAAGTAAAGCAAAGCCAATGCGATTCTGAGTTGCGTTTAAAAATTAAGCGAAAATTGCTCTACGGTTGTGGTATAATATATTGATAACTTGGTATTACAAGCTGGCTGGCTTAGCGTTTTACCATATCTGGGTCATTCCAGTGCCCAGGTCCCGCCGCTGCAACGAACGTGTCTTGGTTCTCGGCAAAATGATCCAAAATTCCTAGAACACTATTCCACGAGTCCTGTTAATGAAGATTGAAAAGTGATGCATAAAAAAACACGGTATAGGTATTGCCAACTCCAAGTAATATGCGCTACACACATTGCATTTCACTTAATACAATTACTATTACTACTGGTTTAAACAGAAACAGGATATAACCAGGAAGAATGAGAAGATGAGTAAATACCTTAAATAACAAATACATTTAAATAAATAAAGAAGAACGAACGGATCAACAAACTCTCCAACCTGCACATCTTGGTAATTTCTCCAGGTGTTGCAGTTTCTAGCAATAGCAGCATAGTCAGGCTGGAATAAAACGTATTTTCAGTTCAAGGAATGACTTTGGATGGTGTTATACGGTTGAAATTTATCAAAACCATTCTTCAGTCAACTTATTCTAAACCTTTACTAGTTGATGAACTATCATTCCAATACTCAACAGAAAATTCTTGACAGTTGAAACAGATTCTTCTCCTGAGAAAATTACCCCAAACATTCTAATACATGACATAAAGTAACCTATTTTGAAATACTCAAGGAGGAAGGTTCTTAGTGCACAAATGCTTGGGGGCAGTGGGGAGGGGAGAGGAGGCAGGCAGGGATGTACCCTGGGAAAAGCTGGAAGAAGCGCTGCTGAAATGAGCCATTTTGGGCTTTATCCCATTAACTCCCAGAAGTGATGAACATGAAACTTCTCCCCATAATATTCATACATTATTCAGCAAACAGGTAATGAGAATATTCAAACTTATCAGGTAGAAGCTGCTATCTTGATCTAACACCACATTCTCATATCTTATTTACAAAGAAATGTGTAGCAGCTGGAGGGGAGAATTAACAATCAGATCTTGGGAGTTAAAGGTTAACACTAGGATTGATGATCTATTATTTTTCTAACCAGACAGCTACAGTGGTGAGCAAAGTTGAGATTCTCCATAAAATAGCATAAAATACCTAGCTTGCAGCAATTTTCTCTTAAAATAGTGTTTTTGTCATTTCAAGTCCAGTAAATATAAAAATTTGTTAATCTAAGCACAAAATAACTTAATAAGTAATACTATTATTGTATCTGTAGTATAACCTTTATTCCAGCTCTGGACTGGTAATCGGGCCATTCACAGCTGAGTAATATTGGGCGCCCTGTTGCATTTAGAGCTTGAGTAAATTTTGGATAGCCAACATCAAACAGAGCAGGGTCTGCGTAACAACCATCCACTTTGAGATAATCCACTTCCCAACTTGCAAATGTCTGAAAAGTATGATTATAATTGAAAAGAAAGAAACAGTGGTACAAAAGGAATAACATGGTCAGTTACCCTCACAACTACGAACAAGGGAACCTTGTAATGCAAAGGTTATGGGTTGAAATGCTATTGAAGTTTCTAATTTTCAGTATTGGCCCAGGTTGTTTAAGGCTAGGTTAAGATAACCCAGGGTTAGTGTGAAATTTGATTTCAGGTATAAAAGCTTTAAAAGGAATTCAGTTCAAATATTTTTGCGTGCAATTTAATCATTGGATATTCTAAAAAGATTAGGGAAAATTTTCCCTTAAAAGGCTTTTGAACAAAGAAATTAAGAAGCCTGGAATAAAATTTAACCCTAGGTTAGTGCTTATCCACCTTTGAACAACTGGGTCCTGTCAGATAAATTGGTGATTTTTACAGTGAATATTCAGTGTGGATTTGTACCCAAACTTAACTCCCTGGTCTGGTGCAAAAGGAATTTCATCTGACACTAATTATGTGTATATTTTCAAGCAGCAAAGAGATGGGAAGAAAGCAAAGCTATAAACCAGTTAATATTGTTTCACATCTAATTATCAGAGCTAAACTTGGAAGAAATTCACTGAATATATAGCAGGAAGACTAAGGCATTGATAAGACTTAGGGATAGAGGGGTTAGCAGTCTGTCACACTGCCTGTAGGTTAAGCAACCCAAGAGGAAGTCAGCATCAGAGTCAGTATTTTCCTTGTATCTAGTAATGATCTTCTCTTGGTTATTAGACCATCAGCCAGTATCACTGATGACAGGTCTTTTTAGTAGTGCCTTTACTGGGATGATCATTCTATATGATCAAAAGTGAAGAATATTTTATCAACAGCTTACTTGTGCATCTTGTTCAATGTGATCAATGCTTCCAGGATAACCAGCACATGTTAAAAAGCCATAATCTGTTAGAGATCATAGAAATAAAGAACAGGGGTATTTATAAAAGATGATATTCAGAAAATGAATACGCAAAATTTAATACTACAACACAGATAGCTCACCTTTAATACAAAAAATGTTACCTGTTCAGTTAGCATTAAAAATAAGTTGTTAAATCTGCTTTCAACTGATCACAGGAAGTAGTTACTTGAAAAGTGACTGATTCAGTCAAAAATACTAACATATTTACACTTTGACTTAAAATTTCAATCAGTAGATACTCACCAGCATACATTCCAAGTTTCAGTCTTTTACTGTGTAACTAATATAAAGTCGTTAAAAAAGCAAATAAGAATTTTAACAAATTCAATATAGTGTCATGAAGGAAACAAAACAAACTTATTCTGACACGGGAAAGTCTATAAAGAAACAGTAAAATTTACAATAAAAAATTGGAGACATTCTTGCCTAGTTAATTGGCTGGTCAAATATTATTATCTGAAAAAGTAACACACCAGATCAGCAGGAGAGTTTTAAGTTAGTAACTCTTCATATTATAACAAGTAAGAGATACATTATCTTACATAATCTGCCAATGCTTTCATCCCACTTGGAAATCTTGTACTGTTTGGCTGTAGATTGCCAGAAGAATCACGCTTTTTGTTTGACCAACAATCCTGAAATATGTGAAGTTAAATCCAACAAGGAAAAAATCATCACCATCATTGCTGTCATCATAATCATGGTTTTTAACCTCGTTATTGTCATCAGCATTATTGTTGTCATTATAATGAAATGTTTACATCACATTGAGATTTCAAGAAATCAATGACAACAGTACATTGCAAGAGATTTCAAGGTACTTACATCAATGCTAACATATTCATATCCAGCATCTCGATAACCATCTTCAGCAAGATGATCTGCCATCTGCTTGATCAGATGTTCACTAGGACAGATCATAAAAAAAAGTATTTTCAGCTCCTGGTTAAATTTTAAACGAAAGCTCCCTCTAGAGTTTATAACTTTTCTGCTTGGAACTTTTCTGGTGACTTATGTTTGTACTGTAGGTGATGAAGATCTCAGGTGAGGTACAGACTCAGCAAGGTTGCTGTTTAGAAAATTATTTAAAAGAATCAGTGAAGACTGTAAACATGTGGTGGCCAATTTTTTCAAGCTGGCTATCTGTCTAGTAACCAAAAAGATTGATGTTCTGAGATTGTAACCAATTAAGACTATTTAGGGTACCCAACCCCAGTCAACACCCTTTCCTTTCCCCCATCCCTCCCCTCCCATTCCTCGTCTTTGATCAAGAGGTAGCAATGAGAGGGGGAAGGGTCCTGATCTTGTGTCACGCACAAATTTTAGAAAAATACACGCATCACTTTTTCGTGCGTCACGAATTGTAAAGGAAAAACTTCAAATCCCATCTTACCTTGGCTTCCTGTTAAATTTAAGCGCCGCGTATTAATTTTGGGCTCAATGACCTTCGTCACATGTCACCTGCAAACCTTTTGCCACCTTATGTCATTATTTCTAATTTGTACATGACGCTATGGGTGTTTTTAAGTTGCTAATCCTCTAAAAAATATAAATATATATATTGCAAAAATATTTTTATGCATTCAGTTTTTATTGATCAACACTAAACATTTAATCAGAGAGTGTGAGATACACTTCCGTACTTTATCTACCATTTCAGTTTGGTACTACGAGAAAATTGTCTTAAAACAACGAACTCACCTTATGCAGTTTTCTGGATCCTTGTTGCAATCGATGTTGCATCTAAATCTTTCCCAGTCCATCCAGCCCACTGTGCAAATGAAGTAAAACCGAACAATGCATCTGTTACCGTAATTAATTATCTCAGGGGAAACAAATATGAAATCAGTGTATTCTGCAAGTCAGCAGAATTTAAACAGCCATCTTTTTAAACTTATAAATTGAACTGAGTAACCGTACTTGGTGGTGTCAGAGCTAAGCCGTTATCCAAACCAACAACTGCATCCTTGTTGGGGAATGTGACTAAAATAACCAGAATTACAGCCGCAAAAACCCAGTGACTATCCGCCATGTTCAGTTTCGGTGCGAGAAAATCACGAGATTGCTTGATGCACGGCACTCGCAGCCTGAGAGAGATCTCCCACTCTCCGCGCGAGGGAACAACTTGCGTGATCTTAACACTCGAGGGAAAATTAATCAGCAAGATAGTATCAATATTTTGTTGAAATCAGTCATTCAGGCAATAAAAATGTGAATTATTTAATTTTTTTTCCCTTTTGGCTATAGACCGGAAAAAAGTGATGTAAGATAAGAAAACATTTCAAACGGATTTTTTCATAGCACTTTATTCGTTGCAATAATAAAAATAAATGAATCAGGAAACTCAAATCAAGAGATACGTGATAGTAAATTATATCAACAACTGATCATGCAGCAACTCCTTTTATGACTTTCTTTTCCTTTTCCTCTTTTCTTTTTGAGTGATTTTTTTTTCTTTTCGCAGATTGGCGTCAGTTTCACCATGGCCACCCCACTAGGGTTCACTCTGGCTGTAAATGATTCGTTGTACATTCCTAGCTGCTGATGAGCAAACAGGTCACGTGCACAAGCACTTTTTGTTGAAATTCCGACCTGCGTTTGAATAGAAACAGTTGGCTTAGTACGTGTGATGACTGGGGTTGCGAACGTGGGAGGACGTACCCCAGGATTTTTTCTAAGCATCCTAGTTCACGAGAGGAGTGAGTTAGTGAACATTTTTTTTGTCGGGATATCGATTTGGTCACGGTAGGGGATGTTCCCTACGGAATGGTCGTCCTGCATCCTGATACCCCACTAATCAACAATCTTTGTTTCGACCCACTATTTAAAAACGTCATAAAGATAAATACAGGACTAGATTAAATAAATAAGGGTGCAGGATATCCTGATACACCCATGAGGGCTTATTGTCAGGGGGGAATTCGTTTCGTAATAGGTCGGTATATATAACATTATTTTAGGTGGGAGTGTACAGCGAGAGTGAAGATCTAAATTTAGTATTGGTGAAAATAAGCTATGATCAAAAAGGTGGCAAATTCTTGAAAGTACTTTCTCCATAAGAAGGATACACACTCGGCATATTTTTACCCAAAGAGAAGGCACGTATCATATACACTTGGGAAACATCATCGAAGGGATTGTGTAGTGTTTTTAAGGTAATCAAAGCTAAATTTGGTATTTCCTGACAATAAGCTTCAGAAGAGGATAGAGGATGGATTCTTACGTCAGAGAACGAGGCTTCCACATCAGACGGTAGATCTGATCTCAGGCTTAGAAGGACCACTGCTACACTTCCGCAGTCTGACAAGGGTCGTACCCATACCTCCGTAAACGATTTTTTATTCTATCGGAAAGAAAATAAAGCCACTTCGATCAGTAAACCCTTTAACTCCCAAGATCTCATTAGCAATTCTCCTTACTGTCTGCCATATAGTTCTTTTGATGTTAGTTTCGAGAATTTGGTATTGGATCAACTTGTAATCTCCTAATTAGTGTTTGTTTTTATACTCATTACTTGTCTTCTTGATATTCTATTGTTATTGTGAGGAGACATTCTGTCTTGGTCACTCATGGGGGTTAAAAAGGTTAACTATTAGCAGGATATCAAACTTTGAGCTACGTGATCAGCAGCTTTTGATATTGCAGCCAGAATCTGGCAGTATGCAGGATTAACGCTTGTTGCCTATGAACCCAATAAACAGCCTGTAACTTAATGAGAGTGTACCGATCCGACGGCGAAATAGAAAGTTCCTGAGGTTTGAATCCTCGAGGGTTACCCAGATTTTTTCGTTTGTCCCATACTCTTGCAAAAAAATTATTAAAACAATTGTCCCAATTGGTCATAGCAGCTTAGCATTTCAAGCAATCGTGTTGAAGGCATCTTTCAGGTGGAGAAGAAAGACATTGTAATTCCGTATGTTTTGAGGTTATAGAAGCTTGAAAACGACTCGTCTAGACGTAGGCAACTTTCTGCTCAAAATTACTGGTTATATTGAATTTCGTTTTACCTGAACCACTCGCTTGCCTTGTTTTCCGAGCTTGTCTTGGTTTACAGCGATTATTTCTCTATAAAATATATATATCAAATTTAGGCCTAATTGCATTAGGAGTAAAAAATGGGTTTATTGGAATGTGTGGTAAATTTTTTGTTGGTTAGTTTATTGGCGGATTCCTGGCTCCGTCTGCATTCCGTTCTGTCTCCATTCTTTTCTAACTCAAGTGACCAGTCGCCGATTCATAATGAGATATTCCCCTCCGCAGCAACGAAGAAGAATTTTACTAGGAAAGCACAAGGATATTTCTGGAAGCTATAAAACAGGTCTACATCGTTTTCGTGGACTCGTGGGCGTGTTAGCCTTTGAGAAGTAACAAAAATGATACCATGGCTTAGATGTTACAATGCAGAGAGCTTAATTTGTTAAAACAATGAAATGCTGAGTTTTGTAGTGCCAGTGACAGTGCACGTGACTTACGTGTTCAGAAGAATTCCTCTGGATCTGGCATCAATGTCACGCAAGTCGTTGGACATAAGCAAGGGCTGATGACGAAAATCATGTAAAGAATTGATTTGTAAACATGAATTACTGTCGAAGAGACTCAGTTGAAAAAAACTATGCAGGGGTGGCCACTGGCTGTTTGCTCCCATGCCATCAATAAGTCATTACTACTATCATTCCTTATTCCCGAGAAAGAAAAATGAAAAAAAAAAACATGGTTATAACAGTAAAAACGAATTCGTTCACGAGGGACTGTTCCCGTCGCAGGGGATACTCACAGATGCCAATATGGCCCAAAGAGCAAACTGTAGCTTTGACTGTTCATAACTGAGACCAAAGTTTCCGATAATCAGCTGAAAGAGAGAACCGGAAAATGTCACTCATGCAGGTTTAAACAAGAAACACGATAGTTCTTATGCTCTCAATTAACTAACTGATGAAAAGCTCATGTTTTCCCGTGCCAGAGTATGGTATGGATTGGGTTTGGCAGAATCTGGATCTCGTTTCATGGAGAATAAACTGATCATTACACCATTCACAAAAGAAAAGTCAAAACAATTTGTTTTATAACAACAGAATGGTTAGATTTTCAGGCACATGGATTGCGGTATGGTCAAAATATAGAAAATGTAGAAAAGTAAAGGGCAAATATGAAAAAGTGAACCATTTCTATGTCGATTTAAAGTCGTGTTTCTTTTGCAATTTTCTTATAGCTGAACTTGCAAAATAAAGATATAAATCTGCTGATGTCGCGTGGATCAAAGAAAGAAGTCTGGAGAGAGGATTGATGGTACAGGGAGACACACCGAGTGCGCATGCATTTCAGTGAGAGTCCACTGACCATATCAGGGTCGTTCCAGTTTCCACTGCCTGCCACAGGTATCATGTCATTTTGGTTGTCTCCATACCAACTGAAAATGTCTACCAAACTCTGGAATGAATCCTGCAATTTAAAAGCCGATAATTTTAAGTGCCCTATGACATCAGTCACCATGATTTGAAGATCTAAGATTAAAATTCAGCCTATAAAGTTTTAAATTCGAAATATGTCTAATTCGATATATCTTACAGTAAGGAAGGAGAAATCCAACATGTATGTTAACCCTTTTCCCCCCAAATCGCATAGAAAAGTGAATCATGGCGGCAATACGCGTTATTAATTTTACTTTTACCTGTATATCACCATAATTTCTCCATAGATTGCAGTGTTTCGCGATCTTCTTGTAGTTGGGCTAAAAATTAATTTACAAAACACGCATTTCAAGTTTTGATCTTACGCCACAGCCCAGCACCCGAATAACATTATTACATTAGCTGTGATGTAGCATTAGAGATGATTCATGGAAGGAAAGTTATCATGAGCCTTTTTTCAATTTTGCATCCCTTTTTTTGGCTTTCACCATGATCAAACCCGTAAAACTTTCAGCCCCTATGCACGCTTTACAAAAACAAAATCAAAACGAAGACGAGCTAATGACCTTAGATTGGTGCAAACCACTTTTTAAACAAAACTTGCATCGTTAGAAACATTGTTATACACACTTTCATGCCCATGAAGACTTGGTAAGCAGGCCAACTACATGAAAACACTATGGGGCGGCCTGTCTTATTCAGTGCCTTGGCAAACTTTGGGTATCCTTTGTCCATCTCTTTGGGGTTTGCATAACAGCCATCTAACTTGAGGTAATCTACTCCCCAATCTGCAAATGTCTGAAAAGAAATACCAACTTAGAGTGACAATAAAATTATTTGCCCACTGTGAACCAGAGAAAAAAGAGTGGATTTTAGAGTGCGATCCTTTCAAATGATGCAGAAACCTGTGCATCTTTCTTTATATGATGAATACTCCCTGGGTAGCCTGCGCATGTCTTGGTTCCATAATCTGAAATCATTCAAAGAAATCAGAAGGTTACAGACTGATCTGACGACAAGTCCGGAAAAACAGAAAGTTTCAAGATAAGTGAATTATAAAGGACCAAGGCCGGTACCTGCATAGATTCCTAATTTGAGTCCCCTTGCATGAACCTGAAAATATCATCAAAGTGTAAATCTGCATAAGCTTCGAGGAGGAATGACCTTCTTTGACAACAACTCCAATGAATATATCATGAAATCAGAAGCATCGGAGACAAGTGAGATGACGTAAAACATATTGCTCTACGTACGTAATCTGCCAGCTTTTTAATTCCGTTTGGGAAACGTTTTGGATCCGCTTGCAGCCGACCGTCTTTAGTTCGATTCATATCTGTCCAGCAGTCCTAGGCGAACAGAAAGTAATTGAATAGAGCACAAAGAAACGGAAATTAAGGTTATAAAGAAAACCTAAAATCTGAAAAACCGAGCATTAGGTGCAAAAGATAAAGCGATAGAGTCAAGAGCGAAAACTAAAGTATGGGTGGTAATTGTTAATTAGCAGGTGGATTACTTACATCAATGCAGATATATTTATAGCCAACATTGCTGTAACCACCAAAGTACATTGCATCTGCCATTTCCATGTAAAGTCTTTCACTGCAGTCAGATCAATCAATCAATCAATAAATCGGTCTATTAAGCAGTCAATAAAGCAATCAATTAATCAATCAATCAGTCAATCTAATTTTGGTTTTTGTAAATAGGAATTATGGCGCATTGCAAGTAGTGAACGTAAGCTATCGTGTTCAATAGTCTCGATTCATTTGTTCAAAACATATTGAGTTGCACGAGTTTTACCTAATGCAGTTTTTAGGATCCTTCTCGCAATCAGTAACACAGCGAAATCTCTCCCACGACATCCATCCCACTGGAATAAACATACACAAAAATTTCTCAATATTAATTTGATTTTATGTCAAGAGAAGATAGTCTAAAGGTTCTTCTCGTTTGAATCTCAATTTCGGACAACAGGAACACAGATGACGTCAGAAAAATCATCTAACAATGATCGCTCCATGCATACTCACATGCCTTACACAACGGAGAAACGTGACTGTGTTAATTCAAACTGGCTAAGATGGAAGAGTACGCCATAAGTAACTATTTTCATAGTATACGAAGTAATTATCAAAGCTATTCAGCTCTTGCACTAAAAAAATCATGCATTCTTGACTCGATCAATGGCTCGTGGGTGAGTTCAGTGAACTCTGGAATTTTGATAAACCCGTCTAGCTGTAGTATTTCTAAATTTGGTGTGTAACTGGAGAACTATCAAGTATGCCTGTTGAAGAATGTCCTTCCCTGTGAAAAGGGAAGGATTCTTTGATACCGCGTTTTGTCATAAAAAAATTGTGATCTCATATGATAACTAAGATATTTTCTCTCATTAGGTTCAGTGTCAATCGACTGATACCGAGAAAAAAGGTTCATGCCCGTAAAAAACACGAATTCTCAGCCAGCGGTTTCCATAACACTTCTTAACCTCGTACCTAAGGTACCTCCCCCTCAAAAAGGGGAGGTGCCTTAGGGACAAGGTTGACGAGTTGTTGCTAGGTGATGACAAATTAGACCTTTGTTCGTTCTCACGGCTCTCCAACTATGTACCCTAATCAGCAAATTCAAAGGATCTAACATGAGCTTAACTGAAAATCTTTCTAAATCGCGAATTTTTTAAACTTAGGCTAGCATTTCTCTCCTCGGTGAATACCATCGATATTCGCTTCGAAATATTTTATTCAATCGGCTTTTATTTTGGTTCACTTTGTCGCTAAAAAGATTTTGCCTACCCGTATAAATCATGTCTTTTTTAAATACCAAAGATCAGCTTACAACAACAAATGTAGCGCGAGATGTGCATTTACTGAGATCAAATTATTATCTTGTTGTGAGTCAACCACGGAAAAACATGTTTTCTTCCATCAATATTTACTGATCTCTCGACAGGTCTAACAGGTACCAAACAGGGATAAAGAACGCATTGTCACCAAGTAAAATGGTGATAAATTATGAAATGAAATAATAAAGGGAGAATCGAATTTTACAAACATAGAAAAACAAGGTCATGATAGCAAGGTAGTGTAGACTGGGAAACCGAGGTAAAATGCAATAATTTTAGCAAACGATTGCCAGAATTTGAACAAAATTATTCATGACCAGGTCTGAATTTTGCCTCGAGAAATATTGAATTGTTTATAATTTTTTGTGAAATTTAGTTTCTTTAGCAGTTGCAGGCTACAAAAACTAACTACTTACTTGGTGGAGTTATTGCAAGACCATTATTCAGCGAGCAGACTTGTTGTAAAATCGTCGAAAATAGACATAGGAACACTGCTTCGCTCAAAGCGGGCATTGCTCTTAAGAGCTGTTTTGTTACAAATGCTTGCTTTGTTTATTAAGAGCTAATGCACCGTGACCTCAGAACAAAATTATTGCTAAGCATTACCAGTAAATTAAATAAATTCATCCGTGTTTCCATAAAAAGGCTGATGCTTCTTCGTATTATTATTATTTTTTTTGGTTCATTCGCGCACCTTCTAAGGCGAAAGAGCGAGAATCGCTGAGTGTCATTTACTACGCCGGTTTTTGTCATTTTTATCAAGCTAGTTGTCTTAAATGCATGCAGGCCTTTTACAGCCAATCATGGCAAATTTTGATTAAATTAGTTGTTATAGCGACTGACTGTGACAGCGGGCTCATGACCTCCGGGTCCTCGGGTCCGATTTTGTTGCTAAGGTTACTGGTGATCAATTGTGAAGTGGATCTTCATGATTTGTGGGAAGACGTCTGGGAAGTCACTGGACTCGATTCAGTCTGTTTTCCAAAAAGAAAATTAACCAGGGGAAAATCGTTTATGTCAGTTGTGGTTCCAGAAAATAAACTGCTCATTAAATAATCTATCATCTGATTAGCCAAGAAAACCCTCAAGCTAATTTGTCGCTAATGAAATCCTGTCAACCGTTGGCGGAGTTTCAGAGAAACTAAATCAGTCGTATCTTTACAATCATGAAGACATGTTCTTCTGGCTGATGAATACATGTTCTGTTAGCTAATGCATATCTCTCTATCGCCACAGTTGCAGGAGGTCTGTAACTGCATAGTACTGTAGATCTTATTTGTTCAGATGGTTGTATTATAGCTTGTTTGTGAAATTTTAAGTGAAATTTTGCAAAATAACGTCAGGACATACTGCATCCATTTTGCCCTGAAAATATTCAATTCATCGCTTTTGAAATGTGAGAGAGAGGGATCAAAACTGGAATACTCTGCGTTGTTGAAATCCCTAAGTATCATTAGGTTAGTGTCAGCGAAGATCTATTTATATCTCTGCACGATAAAATAAGGTTTCTTAATAATCTGGTTCTTAAACAGAAACGAAAATGGTTCTCCCTGAGAAACAGTTTGCATAGTTGGCAACTATGTGCTCAGATATATTGAGTTGTGTCGCTCTTCCATGCAGAGGTGTTTTTGTCAGACTATCGTCCTGCACACATTCAACCGACCAACATAGTTCTTTATAGTTCAGTATTATTTTCAATATGAAGAGCGCTTTTAGTCACTTCATTGGATTTAGTTTCAAGAGAGTTTGCAAGAACGAACCTGACTCGCCAATTAGTTATATCAGGGAGGGGGTGGTGGTCTGCTTCTTGACCCTCACCAGTACATTCCTACCAGCGCTATTCAATTCGCCATAAGGCAATGCTATATAAAAGTAAGAGTTTGGTATAGAAAAAAAAGAAAAGAAAAGTAAAGCTATTGTCTGAGAGGATGACCGCTCCTAACTGGTCGAGTTAAGACCGAAAAAGGTGTTGGGGCTATTGTATGATGTGTCTTCCATGGCCAATATGTTCCTTGTTTAAAGAGGCTGTTCCGCCGGCCTTGGCATTATGCGCCGTTATAATTAAGATATGTGTATATGAAGTGCTTTAATGTAGGTTAAGTGGCACAGGTCGACTATTGTTCCTGTTTAAGAACAACACAAAACACAAATAGAAACACATGTTCATTAATTGGATTCATCAGTGAAATATGCATCATCGACCTACAGCTTTGTGGCTTTATTCGACCTGACACATTTGTCATATAGAACATTTCTCTCGATAACAACTATTTAACAGTCCCTAACTATATCATGCATTGCTTCTCCTTGCCGCTAATTCGGGCAACTAGCCGCTTGCTTGCGGGTGAATTGGTAATTTGACTCAGTCAAGCGTTGAAATCCAGTACGTCTGAACTTTTTTTTCTCTTTCATTGTGTAGGCGGACAAAAGCGTCTTCATGTCAATACTAGGCCGCTGATTCGCGTGAAAACTGAGAAACTTGATTAATACGCTTCCAATATGCTTCGTAATACGGATAACCGTTCTTTAAGCATAAGGAAGTTCTAAACAAACCCTCTGTAGCTGTCTGTTGACACTAGTAATCAACCTCGTTGGAATGATGACTGACAACGAGATTACAAACAAGACAAACAAATTAAGATCAGAATCAACGAAGTGAGTTCAGGAAAATTAAAATGTCATAAATCAGGCTTTTTCTCATCACAGAACGCCACACAGGGTCACAAATGTAATCCGAAATCTATGAGAAACTAACGCACCTTTTATAATAACGATCATTTGTATCTTACATGTAAGGTCTCAAATTGCGAGTACGATCGTGATAGTAATTTTAACATTCGAAACCCTATTACCCCGGTGGCTTTTACAGCTGAATGACAGTTATCAACTTAAGTAGTTTTTTGTATTTCCATTCGCAATTTTAATTTTTTCATTAAGCACAGGTTTTTGTTTCACGCTTTCAACCAAAAGATAGATAGTTCCTTCAAAACGAAACCTGTAGTGCCATGCGAATGATCCATGGATAACTCTAAAAAATAATTATCCAAACTGTTTTTTGCAAGTTTAATCGTGAATCGTGCTATCCTTGCTATCCTCGCTATCCTCGACTCAGTTTAGACATATTAGTCAACTGAAGCACTTTAGAGCGAGTAATCAGAACAGTAGAGAAAATGATGAGCAAACAGTTCTCACATGTGTCTTCGAGAGCGCCAATGTCATTGACACAGCTGTAGTCAAATTCAATGTGCGAACTACAAAAACTTCAGATTTCAGAAAACTCTTCCTCGATACAGCTTCATGTCGATTACTTTCCAAGTAATCAATTATTTAATCAATGTTCAACTCGAACTAGTAACGGCGAGGCAGATTTCATTCACTGATCCAAGCGAGTACAAAATGTCAAGAACACTTCTCCCTGGAACTGCAACGCAACTTTCACCATGAATGACGTTGTGTGCCGGCTACATGAAAGTCATGGCTCGCTCTCGTCCCCGTATCTTAACCAGATTCCTGTCTGTAAATCCGTCCTTTATGTGACTTATACTCGCGCCTTTTTCGATTAGAAAGCGCGCGCAGTCAAATTCTCCTTCGTAAACCGCGGCATCCAGCGGCGAGGATCCTTCTTTGTCGCGAACTTCTAACTGCGCACCTTTTGTCACGAGGTACTGAAGACATTCAAAGCTCCCTGTGCTTGCAGCTCGGTGCAAGGCATACGACCCATCGACTCCTGGAGCATTAAGGTCGACTTTCGTACCTTCCACCACATTTTTTAAGGTATCAACATCATTGTAAGTCGCAGCCCATTGGAGTAATAGTTGTGGATCTAGCGACAAGCTTTGCTTTCTTCTCCTGGCCGACTTATCTTCTGGCTTCAGTTTTCCATCGTCTTTTTGCGCCGCCATTCTCTCTTCGCTGATTCTCCTGAACACACTGTTTCTTGTTGGAAATTTTAACGCAGTCTTTGTGGCAGAACACATTTCTATTCCAAGATGGTACAGATCAGCGCGTGTGTTCTTGCTTTCATCTGTTGACTTCCAAGATTGCACGCGAATATCTGGTGTCTCCGTGTCTTTTGAGCCCTCACGGGTTGATGTAGATAATGTTTTGGCTTCTAGAGTTTCATTTCCTGTAAGCGGATTTGTTTTGATGAAATTTTTGGCTGTGCACATTTCGTTGGATGCAGTTAAATGTTGCTCTAGTTTTGCCCGTTTCCACAAGTTTCACCTTCCAACGCCTAAAGGCAGTCCTTGACTAAAAAATTCCAATATTCTGCGTTGATAAATCAGGTTTTAAAGACGTCATGGTTGTATTCAATTAAGAGCTTGTTTTCTTTCGCTATCTTTGATCATGGTTGACTTTAGACTAATTTAAAAATTCCTGCGGTCTTTCACAGGTCAGCGAACTTTCTGGCCCTGCTTAAAAGATCCTTTCCTTTCACAAATCCGTTGACCTCTTGTATATTTATTTTTGTTAAAGAATTACTTAATAATTTCTTTTTTTTTCTTCAACAAACTTTCCGACTTTGTTTTCAATGGCTGGTTATAATTGCTTTTTTTGTCATGCCTTGGAGCGAAACATATATATTATCTTTCAAAATCTGTCACATTGTTTGGAGCTCTTTCAATTTATTTGGATCTCCATTGTGCGATGCGTTTATCGTCAGCTATATACAATTTAATTGGCTCGCAACCGTGTGAGATATTAGTTTAACAAACAAAGGAGAGTACGCGTCATGGTTTGTTTTGTAATTTTCGTCATTAAGGAGACTGAAGGCTATTTGTTCTTTCCCTATGACGTTGACGTGGATATTTCA